TTCTTGCATTTTTTTTTAAAACCAAATTTATGTTAAGTTTTTTTTTTCTTTTAATTAATCTTCTTTTGATTATTTAAAACAAAACTTAATATTTCAATTATGTTTTTGCATTATTGGAATGATTTAGGTCATTATGGTATTAATATTTTTATAATGGTACAATTGAACATTACTTTACAAATATTATACTACAAAGTATTATTTTTTTTTATACAAATTTGTTATTACATCACTGTCAAACTTGCGCGACCTAACTACAAAGTTGTTGATCATAAATACAATTACACCTGGACTTTAAAACGATAGTACCATTTTTCAAAGAATTGACCATGTTGACATCACCGGCTCCAATTGAACAAATTTACACATCAGAATTTTATTAATGCATAAAAACTTCTAAAGAAAGTTGTAAGTTAATTTGTACTATATCATTATAACAATATCTATTCTTATCATATATTTTAAATTATTTATTATCATCATCTATTGACAACAATTGTAGCAATTGTCATTAACAAACTTTTAAAACAATTTGTCTCAACAACGAATGGAAATTAAAAAAAAAAAATTAGTAATTTCATTATTGTGGATGAAAAGTATGTACGCCACTTTATTACTTTTATTAAATTAAATAAATTAGTAGCTACAACAAAAAAATAATGCATATGCATTTAATTAATTTAGAATTAGATGTCTATAATGTATTTATTTAAAAAAAATTATTCATTATAAAAAAAATTATTCATTAGTTATATTATCTTTATTTTCTACAATTCAAAAATTCCTTACCTTCAAATTTATTATATTCACTACATTGTCCATTGTCTTCTTTTTACATTATCTTGTAATTAAATATCAAAGTTATAATACAAAATATGTTATATATATTTATTTACCAAATATTTTATACAAATATAATAAATATTAATATTTTGTTCAATATTTTCACATGATAATCTACGACACACATCTCACAACACATTAAACATGTAGGGAAAAACTACCACTACCAAATATCAACATATGCTTGTAAGATTAAGAGTTCATAGTACAACTAATATCTCAGTCATATACACAACAAGGCAAATCTAAACCTTCATACACCATAATCTCATTGCATGATGAATCTCTCTGATCTATGCTACCACCAATAACCCAATTGCACATGATACACTATTAATTAAAAAAAAATGACATAAATGGAAGATGAAGACAATGACAATGAGAATTAAGAAGAATTAGAGAAATTTAAACAAAAGTAGTATTTATTTAGACTATCGCTTTTAGACTAAGTATTTAGACTAGCGTTGTTACAGAGTTGCAACCATTTATTTTGGTGACAATTATAATCAATCTCTCATATATTATCTTGCATTTATATACTTTAAATTATCGATTTAAATAAACAAATTCAACATTTATTTACCTATGCATGAATATCTCCTATATAATATTACATTGATATACTTTAAAATACTTATTTAAAAATAATCATTGGGCATTATTTCATTTGCGCAAAGCGCGTAAAAAAACTAGTCTATACTATATATAAAAACAAAATTCTAAACTTTTAACTTTTTGACCAATTCCTAAAAAATCTTACTTTCAGATAAAAATATATTGTTTTCTACTCCCGTATTCGTACTATAATTCTAGGTTAAAAATCCTATTCTAATATTATAAAATATTTTAATACAATTCTATTCTAATATATACTATATATAAAAACAAAATCCAGAACTTTAACTTCCCGCCCAATTCCTAAAAAATATCTCTTTATAATAAAATATATTGTTTTCTGCTTTTCAATTCGTAATATAATCTAGGTTAAAATTCATGCATATTCTAATATTATAAAATAGTGTAATACAATTCATATGCTAATATACTTCTATATTATATATAAAAACAAAATCCTAAACTTTAACTTCCGCCTAATTCCTAAAAAATATCTCTTTCTGATAAAAATATATTGTTTTCTACTTTCCTATTCGTACTATAATTCTAGGTTAAAATTCATATTCTAATATTATAAAATAGTGTAATACAATTTCTATTCTAATCTGCACTATATATAAAAACAAAATCCTAAACTTTAACTTCCCACCAAATTCCAAAAAAATATCTCTTTCTTGGGTTTAGGTTAAAAACTTTGCGAAGGCATAACTTTTGACTCGATTGTCCGTTTTGGACAAAATGTTTTCAAATCGCGTCGCAAAGAGCCAAAGGCGGTTTGCCCTACCAATTTCTCAAAAAAAAAATGCTTCTTTTGCTCTTAATTTTAGTTTTTTTTTTTTTATGTATTTAAATGGTTTCAACAATATTTTAAACAATTTTATAGTCACTTAAATAAATAGTTTGTGAGAATAAACGATGAGAACCTTATGTTATTAGTGAATTTTGATAATTTTTAATTTTTAATTTTTTTTACATTTAAAAAAATAAATAAAAAAATCGGCGCACAAGCGCCCTAGGATGGGGCGCCTAATGTGGTTTGCAACCTTTATATATATATATATATATATACATGCATACATATTGTTCAAGTATAATAAAAACAATATGTAATAATGTAATAAAATAATAATAATAATAATAACAATCCAAACAACAGTACATACAAAATAAAATTAAAATTAAAAAGAAAAAATTAAGAAGAAGAAGAGGAAGACAAAGGGCTCTTCTTTGTAAATGACGTGAGATGATTTTGATCCCGGCCACAGCGACAATGTTAGAAAAGAGGAGCAATTCCCATCTTACAAACATAATTGATTGCCCATCAATGTGGAGAAGTATTAAGACGCCAAAAAATTCTTATTTACGAAGTCTTAGCTTAATAACTTTTTTATTTTAGTTTTTTTTTTTAAAAGTTATTATTTATTATTAGGAGGGTTTGGGAAAGACTAACCCAAAATGTATATGTATTGTTTTTGTTTTTAGCAGTTTGGAGTAAAATTGTTGAGTTATTAGATAATATTTTTTGTGTTTTGATTAAAATGTTAAAATGGAAAATTTGTCAATAATCAAACAAGGGGCCATTATCTAATAATTATTATGCAATTTAACAAATTAATTGTATAGATATAAAAGTTCGTTTGTAAAATAGAAAAATAATTTGTGAAAAATGAGTTATTTTTCATTAAAACATTTTTCTTTTTAATTTGGCCGCACAGCAGAAAATTGTGTAAAAGAAAATTTATATTATTATTGTTATTATTATGTAATAATGTAATAATAAAATAAAATCTATACTATATATAAAAACAAAATCCAGAACTTTAACTTCCCTCCCAATTCCTAAAAAATATCTCTTTATAATAAAATATATTGTTTTCTGCTTTTCTAGTCGTAATATAATTCTAGGTTAAAATTCATGCATATTCTAATATTATAAAATAGTGTAATACAATTCATATGCTAATATACTTCTATATTATATATAAAAACAAAATCCAAAACTTTAACTTCCGCCTAATTCCTAAAAAATATCTCTTTTTGATGAAAATATATTATTTTCTACTTTCCTATTCGTACTATAATTCTAGGTTAAAATTCATATTCTAATATTATAAAATAGTGTAATAAAATTCCTATTCTAATCTGTACTATATATAAAAACAAAATCCTAAACTTTAACTTCCCACCAAATTCCAAAAAAATATCTCTTTCTTGGGTTTAGGTTAAAAACTTTGCGAAGGCATAACTTTTGACTCGATTGTCCGTTTTGGACAAAAAAATTTCAAATCGCGTCGCAAAGAGCCAAAGACGGTTTGCCCTACCAATTTCTCAAAAAAAAAAATGCTTCTTTTGCTCTTAATTTTAGTTTTTTTTTTTTTTTTTTTTTTTTTTTTTTTTTTTTTTTTTTATGTATTTAGATGGTTTCAACAATATTTTAAACAATTTTATAGTCACTTAAATAAATAGTTTGTGAGAATAAACGATGAAAACCTTGTGTTATTAGTGAATTTTGATAATTTTTAATTTTTAATTTTTTTTATATTTAAAAAAATAAATAAAAAAATCGGCCCCTAGGCGCCTTAGGATGGAGCACCTAATGTGGTTTGCAACCTTTATATATATATATATATATATATATATATATATATATATATATATATACACACACACACATGCATACATATTGTTCAAGTATAATAAAAACAATATGTAATAATGTAATAAAATAATAATAATAATAATAATAAGGGAAAAGTGCATTTTTCGTCCCTAAGTTATAGGGTAATTGTAGGATTCGTCCCTAAGTGTTGTAAATACCCACTTTTCATCCCTAAGTTATAAGCTATGATGCAATTTTCGTCCTTTTTCTAACAGAGGTGTTAAGTGACTATTTAATGTAAGGGTAATTCTGTCCAAACACATTTAGGCTCATTATTAATTTAATATTTCCCTAATTATACTCTTTCCCTAATTATACTCTTGTACTCTTGCGTAGACTGGGTCATTTCTTTTATCATTTTTTCATATTTTAAACATGCAAAATTTATGATGTTAAAAATTGTTTTTGAGATGCTCCGGCTTGTAAGTACACAAAAATTTTAAAACAACACTCAAGACTTTCAATAAATATAATATTGATTTCTTTCAATATATTGAAGTGTTGGTAGTTTTCAACACAAAAGACTTTCAAAATTAAAGTGATTCACAAAAATCATTCCAGAACTTACCTATTAACTACTTAGCTTGCCAAGCACCTTGTGCTCAGATGGCATGTAGTGACCTCTCCCATGTGGGAAGTCATGAGATCGAGCCTCAGTGGAGGCGTTGTTGACTCTTTGTGCTTCATTAGGTTGAGAAAGTATATTTGAACAGATACTACAATGTAATAGAGTCAGTAGCATTCAAAAAAAAAAAAAAAAACTACTTAGCTTGTATTAAATATTGGTTGCATTACAAAAAATAAAAATAAAAAATTCAAGATCTAAGCAGCCTTCTAAACCTACATACTAATTGATGCTATAAAGCATCATCTTCATTTATGTTGTTTGGTCTTTCTTGGTGCACAACCTTGACTCAATTTTCTTTTTCTTGGTGACTTTCCAACTGTCTGTGATGGAGTTGTTTCTCTATGTATCTGTGTGCATTGGGGACCAAGGAGTTATGTTCTGCAAACAAGGAATTAGATAATTGTAGTGCATTGAAAATCAAAGTTTTTGCAAATTTACATATTATCTTTAAAGAAAAAGAAAAATTTAAGAGTATTGACCAACCAATTCATCCTGCAAAGCATTAGAGATTATCATTTCAATGACATTATCATTTGGAACAAACCATGCAACAGCACCAGGGGGCTGGACTTAAACATTAGCAACTTCAACAGCAAGTGGTTCAACTTCAGCAGCTATATTAGCCACAGGGTGTTCAACTTCAACTTCAGTAGCAACAGGGTGTTCAACTTCAACTTCGGCAGGGGGTTCAACATCATTTTGCCTCTATTGAGAAAGTGTAATAAATGATAATGAAATTGTCGATATAGAAAACATAATGTAAAGACAAATACAAGTGTAATTACCTGGTTTTTGCAGCTACGCTTGTTATGGCCATATTGTCCACAAATTGAACACTTCTTTTTCTCACCCTTTCTTGATAACTTGCTAATTAGCTTATCACCCACAATAGATTCATTCTCAATAGGATCTCTCTTCCTTAGTTTTTTTGGTCTGCCTGGTTGCACTTTATACTTGGGTGGTAGTGGTGGTTTTTGGCCAGTTTTTGTCCATAAATCTGAGGGATGAATTGGCATTATTGCTGGTTTATAACTCCTCATATATGCTTCCACAGTATAGCAATGATGGACATAATCTTCAGGTACTTCCCCTTTTGTTCTAATTGCTGCAATGGCATGACTACAAGGGATTCCATTAAGATCCCACCTCCTACAACTGCAACATCTTTGATTCAAATTTACCTTGTAAGTCTTAAAAAAGCCAGAAATGTCTTCAACTTGGTAGTTGTCATCATTTGCTTTGTATGCTATCAAATCACCAGTGTGTGCCTTGTTTTGTTCAAGAATTTTTATGATTTTAGGGCATATTTTCATTACACTTCCCTTCATTTTGTCTCTGTTCTTCTGCATCCTAGACATTAGGTAAATTCTCAAGCTCTCACACATTGTTAGTATGTACTTATCCCTTGCATGACGAATGGAGCTGTTAAATGACTCACACAAATTATTCAGCAGCATGTCAGACTTTAGATAATCAGAAAAATATGCCCTGCAAAAGTGTCTTGGTTCCCTATCTAATATCCATTGGGCAGCTTTTGGATTTAATAATCTCAAACCTTCCAAGTGCTTTTGAAATTCACTTTCTGTAGTTGATCTACAAGCAGCCCAAAAATTCTGCTTCATGACTTGACCACCATATCCATCCTTGCTGAAATTAGCATGGAGATGCCTCACACAATGCCTATGTTCTATATATGGAAATAACTCTTCAAAAGCAGGTACTAATCCCTTTTGTTTATCAGAAATAAAGGTCCATCCAATGGGGTTTTGAGAAATATGAAGATCACCATCTAATAACTCAAGAAACCACTTCCAAGTTTCGTTTAACTCACCTTCAACCACAGCAAATGCAATTGGGTACATGTTGTTATTAGCATCTACTCCAACTGCACTTAATAATTGTCCTCCCTTTTGATTTCCCTTCAAATGGCATCCATCTACACCAATTAAGGGCCTACATCCATTTAAAAACCCTTCTTTACATGCACCATAACATATATACAGCCTCTTGAATCTACTCCTACCCTCCATTGAATAAGTGTTGTCCAAAATTAACTTCACAGTAGTGCCAGGGTTAGTTTTCTTAAGTTCTTCACAATAATCCAACAACAAATTATACTGATGATTTTGAGAACCAGTTACTAGCAACTTTGCCTTTTGCTTGGCCCTAAATGACTGAAATTTTGAAATATTGCATCTAAACTTTTTCTTCACATGCCTTTGGAATTGAACTCTGCCCCATTCCTCATTTAATTTGAATTCATCCTTATAATATTTGGCAAGAAATCCAGATTTAATCAGTTGATTGTCATGTTGTTCACCACAACTATGATTGAGCCTATATGTTTTAATGGTAAAAGGACAATTTTCATTGCTCCTAGAACCAAATATAACCCAGTCACAATTTACATCCCTACATTTTGCTCTAACTCTCCTAGGCTCATTCTTCACAAAGTAGACATCCTTTTTTCTCAATGCTTCATACCTTTCAACTGCCCACTTAAACTCCTTGTTATCTTTAAAAATCATTCCTTCTTGAAATTGAAAATCCTCCAAGTTGAATTTTGATTCACTAAAAACTAAACTAGAATTACTCCCTTCCTCCACATCAGAATTTGAACTAATACTCCTTAATTCATCTTCAGAATCAACACAATCTACTTCATTTATTTGGGCAATTGAACTACCAAATTCCTCTACAACATTTGTAGCTGCACTATCAGCAACATTACCATGTTCATCTTCACTTGAAAACTGAGAATCATCAAATTCACCATCTAATGATGTTGATTTTTCATTCTCAGAATTACAGTTACCCCCTTCACCACTATGTCCTTCATGTGAATCTAACAAACCAAAAGACTCGGTTAAAAAAAAAAAACAAACAAACAAACCAAAATATATTTTACAATTAAACAAGTACAACACTAATCAACATTAAATAATGAAGACAAACAAAGAATAACAAATATACTATTCTGGTTTTATTCATACGTGGATCCAATATTTTTTTGATTACATAAACTAATTCATAAAAATTTCAAAACCCTAAACATGAAACTATTAAACAAATAACAAGAACTAATATTTTACCCAACAATCAATTAAACAAATACACAAAATTTTCAATTATATAAACTAATTTGTAAAATATTTAGAATCTAAATGCAAAACAATTAAACAAATATGGAGTAACATGAACTAACATTTAACCCAACAAGCAAACAAACAAAAACTAAGCCCTAAACATTAAAACAAAATAACGAAATTAAAGAAAAATATGCCTTGCAAAATTAACGAGAAATTGAATTGCTTAAACCTTCGAAAATTAACAAAGGGGAAGAACTTACACGGTAGAGTTCCCTTCCAGCCAAGTAATCGCCGATTAATCATCGAGAAATTTTTAGAATGCTTCATCTCTTGACCATCAATTTTGTGTGTTTGAAATATGAAAAAATAGTAGCGTGAACTGTGAAGTGGAAGAGTCAGTGTTGAAAACCTACGCAAGAGTATAATTAGGGAAATATTAAATTAATAATGAGCCTAAATGTGTTTGGACAGAATTACCCTTACATTAAACAGTCACTTAACACCTCTGTTAGAAAAAGGATGAAAATTGCATCATAGCTTATAACTTAGGGATGAAAAGTGGGTATTTACAACACTTAGGGACGAATCCTACAATTACCCTATAACTTAGGGACGAAAAATGCACTTTTCCCTATTAATAATATAATAATAATTAAAAAAACTATATACAAAATAAAATTAAAATTAAAAAAAAAAAAGAAAAAAAAAAAAAAGACAAAGTGGAACCATGAGCTCCCCTTTGTAAATGATGTGGGATCATTTTGATCCCACTTCGAAAATGTTTGGCAAGAGGAGCTCTGAGCAATGTTCCTCTTCCAAACATAATTGATTGCCCATCAACGTGGGCAAGTATTGAGAATCCAAAATGTTCTTATTTAGGAAACCTTAGCTTAATGGCTTATTATTTTAGTTTTTCTTTTAAGAAAACATTTTACAAACAATGATAAATAAATTTTTCAAAGTTATAACACCACATGTGTACATCTAGACATTAGCTATTAATTTGAGCAATTATTTACACAAATTCATGCAATGATAACATTAAAATAAATAAACGATCCAAACCATATCTTTAATTGTACTATATAATATTTGATGTTCTAATTTAAATAATTATATATCTATTCAAATATTCTTAATATATTACAACAAATCTATTTCATGCATCGCACGGGTGAAAATAGTAGTTAAAATTAAATAAAAATATATATGAAGAAGAAGAAGAAGAAGACAAAGGGCTCCCATTTGTAAATGATGTGGGATCATTTTTATCCCACATTGAAAATGTTAGGAAAGATGAGCTCTTTAGGTCCTCTATATATAAGGGGAACAATGCTCCTCTTACAAACATAATTGCTTGCCCATTAATGTGGGCAAGTATTAAGAAGCCAAAAAAACTCTTATTTAAGAAGTCTTAGCTTAATGACTTTTTATTTTAGTTTTTTTTTTTAAATTATTATTTATTATTAGGGGGGTTTGAGTAAGATTAACCCAAAATATCTATGTGTTGTTTTTGTTTTTAGCAGTTTGGAGTAAAATTGCTTAGTTATTAAATAATATTTCTTTTGATAAAATTTATGGTATCTAGGTTAAAATTCCTATTCTATTATTATAAAATAGTGTAATACAATTCTATTCTAATCTATACTATATATAAAAACAAAATCCTGAACTTTCCGCCCGAATCCTAAAAAATATCTCTTTCTTGGGTTTAGGTTAAAAACTTTGCGAAGGCATAACTTTTGACTCGGTTGTCTGTTTTGGACAATTTTTTTTTCAAATCGCGTATTTTTTCGAGATCTACCTACCGCAAACAGCCAAAGGCGGTTTGCCCTACCAATTTCTCAAAAAATGCTTCTTTTGCTCTTAATTTTAGTTTTTTATTTTTATTTTTATTTTTATGTAGTTAGATGGTTTCAACAATATTTTAACCAATTTTATAGCCACTTAAATAAATAGTTTGTAAGAAAAAACGATGAGAACCTTATGTTATTAGTGAATTTTGATAATTTTTTTTTACATTTAAAAATAAATAAAAAAATCGACGCCAAGGCGCCTCGGAGGGGCGCCTAATGTGTTTTGCAAACTTTATATATATATATATATATATATATATATATATATATATATATATATATATATATATATATATGTATATATATATATGTATATGTATATATATATATATTGTTCAAGTATAATAAAAACCATATGTAATAATAATAATAATAATAATAATAATAATAATAATAATAATAATAATAATAATAATAATAATAATAATAATAATAATCCAAACAACACTACATACAAAATAAAATGTTAGGAAAGATGAGCTCTTGAGGTCCTCTATATAAGGGGAGCAATGCTCCTCTTACAAACATAATTGCTTGCCCATTAATGTGGGCAAGTATTAAGAAGCCAAAAAACTCTTATTTAAGAAGTCTTAGCTTAATGACTTTTTATTTTTGTTTTTTTTTTTATTTATAATTTATTATTAGGGGGGCTTGAGAAAGATTAACCCAAAATATCTGTGTGTTGTTTTTGTTTTTAGCAGTTTGGAGTAAAATTGCTGAGTTATTAAATAATATGTGTTTTGATAAAATTTATGGTATTTTGATTAAAGACAAAATGTTAAAATGACAAATTTGTTAAAATATTGGCAAATTTATCAATAATCAAACAATGTCATTATCTAATAATTATTATGCAATTTAACAAATTAATTATATAGATATAAAAGTTCGTTTGGAAAGTAAGAAAATAATTTGTGGAAAATGAGTTATTTTTCAGGAAACATTTTTCTTTTTAATTTTTGGTTGCACATCAGAAAATTGGCTAAAAGAAAATTTATATTATTATTGTTATCTTTTTTTTTTTTTTGAAAATATTATTATTGTTATCTATCTACACTATATATAAAAACAAAATCTTGAACTTTAACTTTCGGCCCAATTCCTAAAAAATCTATATTCCTAATAAAATATATTGTTTTCTACTTTTCTCATTCTTACTATAATTATGGGTTAAAATTCTATTCTAATATGGTAAAATTGTGTAATACAATTCGTATTATAATCTATACTATATATAAAAAACAAAATCCTGAACTTTAACTTCCCGCCCAACTCCTAAAAAATCTCTCTTCCTAATAAAATATATTATTTTCTACTTTCTCATTCGTACTATAATTCTGAGTTAAAATTCTATTCAAATATTGTAAAATTGTGTAATACAATTCGTATTATAATCTATATCTATACTATAAAAACAAAATCCTGAACTTTAACTTCCCGCCCAATTCCTAATAAAATATATTGTTTTCTACTTTCTCATTCGTACTATAATTCTGGGTTAAAATTCTATTCAAATATTGTAGAATTTTGTAATACAATTCATGTTATAATCTATACTATATATAAAAACAAAATCCTGAACTTTAACTTCCCGCCCAATTCCTAAAAAATCTCTATTCCTAATAAAATATATTGTTTTCTACTTTTCTCATTCGTACTATAATTATGGGTTAAAATTCTATTCTAATATTGTAAAATTGTGTAATACAATTCGTATTATAATCCATACTTCTATACTATATATAAAAACAAAATCCTGAACTTTAACTTCCCGCCCAATTACTAAAAAATCTCTATATATAATAAAATATATTCTTTTATACTTTTCTCATTCGTACTATAATTCTGGGTTAAAATTTTATTCTAATATTGTAAAATTGTGTAATACAATTCGTATTATAAACCATACTTCTATACTATATATCTATCTATACTATATATAAAAACAAAATCCTGAACTTTAACTTCCCGCGCCCAATTCCTAAAAAACTCTATATTCCTAATAAAATTTATTGTTTTCTACTTTTATCATTCGTACTATAATTCTGGGTTAAAATTCTATTCGAATATTGTAAAATCGTGTAATACAATTCGTATTATAATCTATACTATATATAAAAACAAAATCCTGAACTTTAACTTCCCACCCAATTCCTAAAAAATCTCTATTCCTAATAAAATATATTGTTTTCTACTTTTCTCATTCGTACTATAATTATGGGTTAAAATTCTATTCTAATATTGTAAAATTGTGTAATACAATTCGTATTATGATCTATACTATATATAAAAACAAAATCCTGAACTTTAACTTCCCGCCCAATTCCTAATAAAATATATTGTTTTCTACTTTCTCATTCGTACTATAATTCTGGGTTAAAATTCTATTCAAATATTGTAAAATTGTGTAATACAATACATATTATAATCTATACTATATATAAAAACAAAATCCTGAACTTTAACTTCCCG